ATCTATCTATCTATCTATCTATCTATCTATCTATCTATCTATCTATCTATCTATCTATCTATCTATCTATCTATCTATCTAGATATGTGGGTGGGTGTGAGTGTGTGTGTGTGTGTATACTTTATGTGAACAGAAGATGACAAAGCTAAGTTTAAGACCATGTTAAAGTTATGGCTGTCAGTGCTTAAGGTCAGACGTATGGATTCTCATATTCTGTGTTGGAATTTCATGCCTGTGCGGCCGTATACTTCGTGCTTGCTGGTCATGACAGTTTTTAGACAGAAGGCATTTCCCTTCATTCTTGAGCACTCCTCTTTCTTCTCTCCAAAGCCAGCAGCAGGTGATCTGTAAATCTGCCGGGACGTCCTGAGCACTGCCGGGTGTAAAAGATCCTTGCTGATCACTGACCACTGGCAGAGCTGTGTCCAAGGCGCAGCTTGACAGATATAGCAGCAGCTGGAGAAACACGCTCCCAAACGAGAGCTGCTCCACTCAGAGTCTTGCTCTCCTTCACGCACACTCCGTCTGACAGCTTCTGGAAAACAGGCCAAAAAAATGGAGATTACACTTGAAAATGAAAACAGCAACACGCAGGCAAATGTAGAGTACAAAGGAGCTCACCAAGCTTTCAGGGACCGCTGGAAAGAGACGGATGACAGCATGTGCCGCCACAGCATGTCCTTCCACCTGCACCACACGCTGAGGAGTGAGTTCTTTGCCAGCTACCTGTACCTGCTGGAGAAGATCCCTGTGGGTAAGAATTTCCATAGAAAGGTTGGATTTTTCTGTAAAAGAGCAAAAGCTGTGGAAGCATGCGGGATATTCTATTCCATCATTGTGTGTTTCTGTTGCAAAGAAGAGAAAAACTGTCCCCCACAGTGTCTCTTTGTGCTTATAAGTCTCACAGCGTCCAGTGTTTAAGACGATGTTAAAAGGGACGTTTTTTATTGGATAGTTTATGCTGATTTAAAAACTTGGGGTGAAAAAAAAGGTCAGTTCAAAGTTTTAGACACAGATGAGTGAAAAGAAGTGCATTTGAAGGTTAAACATGTACTTGAACTGGCTTTAATATTGTCAAACAGGGACTATCTACTCTGAGATGGTTTCCTTTGTGTAAAATATTACAGAGTGTAAACTCTGCAACAGTTGGATTTGAAGTTAAACAAAATAAATATTACTCATTATTTTTCTCACTTTCTGCTGTAGATCAGCTGCTATGTTTGGATCCCGTTGATTAGCCAGTTTCAGCCAGTTTACCTGTGGGACAGATGGTCTCACATCTGACTCTGAACATTTTGGGATCCAGAGGAGTTCATAATGGACTCCCAGGTTCAAATCATCATCCCTCCCCCACCGTGCTGACAGCTGCTCTGAGCTGTTTGTGTTTGGTTTTTGTTTGGTTTCAGTGCACTGTGACCAAACATCTCCACTTTGCTCTGCTCTTTTCTCCAGAAGTCTTTTTTCAGATGTTGCATTGCAACTCCTTTTTCAGAGAAGTGGCTTGCTCCTGCAGCCTTTAACATGCCGTTTAAGGCCTTTAGAGTCTGAGGTGTATCTCCCTTTTTCCATGAATTTATGGGGACAATGAAATCCAGCATATCTATCTTGCTTTATTAAACTCAAAATCAGAGTCAATTCATCTTTACAATGTACATTTATAATAATAAGTATGTTTAGGAACTACAGACCTTGTTATGTTGTCAAAAAACTGGGCTAAAACTTTTACTGTCTGATTAGAAACAACTTTCTCACAGGAGTCCATAAAATGATCACACAGTTCTGTGTTCTACCTTTTAGTCGACTTGTTTCCAACATATGAGTACAAAATGTACCTTCATTTTATGAATGGATGGAATAATAGAGCAAATTTAAAGGAAATTATACCTCACTGCAGGAATTTAGAATTCTTGACTATGTATGAACCATCCATGTCATTTCAGCAAGTTAGGACTCAGTAGCTGCAGAAACAGAGACAACAGGAGGGTTAAAGAAGAAGTGAAACAATGTGGTGTTACGGCTTAAAAACAAAACAACATCCGTCATTATTTACACATTTTAAGGAGAAAATATCCTTTCCGGGCCTTGAAGGATTTCAGAAAATGTAACATAAAGCGAAAACTTTGATACATTTCCTTCCTTTGTTTTGAAGCCGGGCGACTTGAATACTCAATTTTCATCATGACAGTTTGAGTTGTGGGAGCAGAAACAGGAGATCCTTACCCGTGGACTGTTCTGGTTGAAACTTCCTCATCACTCACCTGATACACGGCCCATTAAAGGAGCAGCACGTCAGGCAGTAAATCATGTCAGTCAGACACACAGACCAGCATCGGGGCGCCACCGTCGGGTGATTTGCAGCCCGCAGTGCTCTGACTGAAACACATTCTCACTTTGTATGTCTTCATCCAGCTAAAGACAGCAAAATCATATGATAAAACATTCTGGAAGCCAGCAGAATCTGGAACTGTCAGGTTTTAGGCGTTCATCAAACCTTCTTCTGTTCCGCAGCAGCTCAGAGGTCAGGCAGAACTTTGAAGGTGGGAGATGGATGAAGATGACTGACACCCCTCCAGCAGACATGTGTCATCACGCTGTCCTCCCTCCTTCTTTGTCTTGCTCGATGTTTCTATACTTATCCTTCCTCTGAATGCCACCCTGAGGTGTCTAATGACGTATAGCAACCGCGTGAAGGAGTTCCAAACTAATTTGGACCAATGACAAATGTTTCATAACCACGTGGTGTTCCTTTTAAGTTTGATATTCAGGTGTTGACTCTGGAAATAAACCCCCTTCTCAGTGTTTCAGCGTGGTGTTATGAATTCAGCCTCTGCTGATCTTTGACAAGAGGTCTGACATTCCCCCCCCCAACCCCCTTGCCGAACCCTTCGGGGCAGCGCGCCACTAAAGCCGTCAAACGTTGCATTCATTCTGCGGGATTTACCTCAGCTCGGCCGAACAGAGGCAGTGAGAGGCTGGGATTGTCCCTGATGTGTTAACATTCTTACTGACACTGGAATAAGCCTCAAAGCAGCTCCAGAGCAGAGCTGTGAGAACCCCTTAAAGGTCCAAGTTTGCTCCAACTTTTCCACGTAACAGCTGAGCAGAGTGTAAAGGCAGCACATGCTTATTTATAGCCTTCTGCTGATCTAATTATCATCCTACATTTCCTCTGAGATTTTGACCCTCTCTGTGCCGAGCAGCCTGCTGTCATGTTGTAAATGTCTGCACCTAATTCCTCATTACTGGTTTAAAACCAGCATCAATCACACAGTATGTGTTCACTCTGGGTAAACGCCCCATCAGCAGATGCTCCGCTGGGATTCTATAGGTAACACTTCAGCCTTAAGAATATAAGACCCAAAAAGTACGCAAAAAGTTGCTTTTTTAGGAGGAACGCCTAAAACCAAATTTTTTGAAACAAAGAAATGAGTTAAAAGAACCGGAAGAAGAGGAGAACAAAGCACAGGAGGGGAAGAGAACAGGAGCTTAAATACTGAACAATAATTCAAATGAAGGACTGAGACATAAATCAACTGACTGATCCATCAAAACTCCAAAAGTAACCCAAAGTTACAGAAGTTTAATGTGCCTGTGTGGACTTTAAAAATGTTTATTACATGTTACATTTAGAAGCCAAAAAGATCATTTTGTTTGTTTTTGCAGTGGGAATTCTTATGATTAGTTTTGGAGAAAGAAAGCCCCAAATCCTGACCCAGGTGTGTCAGGAACAACAGTGATTCCGCTGCTCATCTGGCTCAAACCTCACACCAGAGGATGAAATGAAACATTTATTAAGCTTTGTAAACTGGTTTGTTTGCAGTTCTGGCCCTTCAGCTCTTAAAACTAGCTCTAAGAATGCCTGAATTAACCTGATGTTCGTCTGTTTTCTGACAGTGAAACTGTTTCCTGTCACCTGTGAGTACATCAAAGGAGAGAAACAGTTCTACCACAGAGCTCAGAAGTTCTACGAGGACGTCCCCGCCTCGGAGGAAGGCATGCTGGGAGATTTTGTGGACATATGCAACGTGGACCTGGAAGGCTCCCGTCAGTTTCTGAAGAGGTTTGTGGTGAGTTCTGATTGCTGCTGCATGTCAGCTGACACCGGTGTGGCTCTCCCTGATCAAACAAGCCAGTCAGCGTCTATTTGTGGTGAGGAATTCATCATCCTGACTGTACAAAAAGAATTCCAGCTACTTCCATGTGCAGATTCTAATAGTAGCTCAGCCCATAAACACCCACCCAATGCCAGCTCACCCAGCAACCCCCCCTCTGCTGTGAGAACTCCTCATTTTGTCCAGTTTTCAACATCTGTAGTTTTATCTACATCAGAAAACCACATCCAAACTTGTCTAAAACGATGCATCATCTGCACATCGAACGCTCCCGTGAGTCTGAATATCCCCGTGCTGAGTTTTTATAGATGCTCCTGCTAATTCAGGGGAACATGTTTGGCCCAGAGACACATTTATACACGAGATCTGCTCTAAATATAAACTGCCAACATTAGGTGCTTTGAAGACCGTCAGACAGCAAGAGGCACCTTTTCCTCTGGTGCTAATGTAAACAGAGTGTTCAGATTTAAGAGCTTAGTGTTTACTGCTACCAGCTGACACAATTCAGAACCCTGACATAGGTTTTCTGTCCTTGCCGTGGCCATAATAAACACACCAGGCTCAGTAGTCTTTGTGTCCTGCTTAAGTCACCACCTGAATTTACTAAGCAAACTGTTGAGGGCCTCCCATTTGATAACTGATGCAGCTTCTTAAACAACCGTGTTGAAAATTATGTAAATCATTGGCTGTCATTGGGTGAGAGGTAGATACACCTGGACAGGTCAACCATGCTCATTTACAGGCAATTCTGAGTGGGATGAGAGCTGTTTAATGGCGTCTTACAAACAGGAAGGGTGGTGAGGAGCCATGAGAAAGGACGCTGTGGAAAAATCTTGGATGATGTCTAATCCTGAAATTTTGAATATTTCCATACAAACAAAAATTGTCAAGTCAGGAGCAGCTTAAAGAAAACCACTCATTGGTGTATCTGATTGGGAGAAGAGCATGAAGATTGGACTGAGTACTAGAAAGTCATGAGTTGTGATGAGTTCCAGAGGGCGTACAGGTTGGGCTGGGATCTGGGCCTGTAAGCCCAAAGAATCAGATGGTGTGTCTAACTTTAAACATGGTCAAATTTCAGTAAAGTCACAGGACACTGGTTTATGCCAGAAACTAACTGAACCCCCAGCAGATAATGTTTCAGGCTATGTCCGAAACATTGCCGCGTCTTGACAGCTGCCATACTGGATGAACTGCAAGTATTTTCAATGGGAAGGTGGTCATATCAGAAATCTATTGGTGTTCCTAATGATCGGGTCCTCCACCTTCAGCTCTGGTTCCAGCTCCAGAAACAGCACACTGATCGATTGATCTCAATCGATTTCTGAGATAATTCTGCTCCTCTTTCATACGATATATGACCATTCTCTTTGGAAAAATCCTTGATTCAATATAACAGCTTTCCAGACGGTAGCCAAAACCTGCTGGTAATTATCTACTTGGGGTTCAGATATGTCCTTTTCACTTGAGTTTTTAAATAAAACCTGGGACTTTTGATGCTGTGAAATAAAAAGCCTTTGTGCCAGTATTTAAAAACTAATAGCCAATTAAATCAAGCAGAGTTGTTACAGAGAAATACTACAATAAAAAAGTGTAGAAACTTCCCTTCACGCATTAAGTTTAAGTTTGAATTAAAAAAAACAACATTTTTTGGGTCTAAATTCCTTCTCAGTCTTACTAAAGCTTCTTTTGTTTGTTTGAACTCCCTGAGTCTTTGGCAGCTGAGAACAAAGCAGCCATGAGAACATTCCTCATTCAGGTAAAAAGAGCCTCTCTCAGAAAGCTGTTGGGGTTGTTTGTGAACGTCCAGAAATTCCAGCGTTGATTCCTCCCTCGAATCAGGAGGGGAAGCAGGCAGAACATCTCCTGCTCAAAGCAAACCTCTCTGTACATACGTGCAATGTGGCAGTAATTCACCCAAATCAGGAAGCCTCCTGTAACAGAGCTCCTCGGGCCCCCTCACCAGAGGCCCCTGATACTGAGGGGTTGGACTCAGGTCAGCATACCAAATGAAGAGGAGGAAAAAGCAGCCTCCCTGTTGTCCGGAACTGTTCAGTGCTTTGCTACCTGTGGGTGAGGCCTGACATCTGCAAAGCAATCAGACCCGTTGGTCACCTCAGGAACTTGGACATTTTTTCTGGTCCACCTCAGAGATTTTCCTTCATATACAAACATTTGAATCTCCCCAGTTAGGTTCAGTTTTTTAAAGCTCCAAATCACAACTGAAGCCATTATCCAGTTATCCAATTGAATTTACTGTCAATGAAAGTCACACACTGGTGCCATTCATTCAGGACCAATTACAGAGAAAGTTTCCTTTCTAACAAGATTGTTATGAAACTTATTTCTGATCCAATACCCATCCTCAACCAGAACCAGGATGAAAACCACCAGCAGAACCAGAACCAGAACCATAAAAAACCTCCAGAAGAACTTGGAAGAAACCCTCGAAGAAGAAAAGCAGGACCCAGCCCAGTGCATCATGGGAACTCCCCCAGCAGTCTGGGCCTACAGGAGCAAAACTATGGGATGTTTCAGGGTCACTGAGCCATTTATAACTATATAAGCTTTATCAAAAAAGAAAGTCTGAAGCCTGATCTTAGGTAGAGACGGGGTCTGCTTCCTGAACCCAAACTGGTTCCACAGAGAGGGGCCTGATACCTGAAGGCTCTGCCTCCCATTTTGCTATTACAAACTCCAGGAACCACAAGTAGACCTGCAGTCTGAGAGCAAAGAGCTCTGCTGGGAGAATATCCAGCTGTGAGCTCTGTAGAGACCATGGAGCTGCTCATTCAGAGCTTCTTATGTGAGGAGCAGAACTTTAGATTCTGTTCTGAATCTAACGGGGAGCCAATGAAGAGAACCTGAAACTGGACGAATGTTTTCAGTTGTTGTGCTTCTCTCTTCTTGTGAACAGGGTCCTGGTAAGGCCGGCACACACTGTGCTCTAGACTGCGGATGTGGGATCGGGCGCGTCTCCAAAGGTGTCCTTCTTCCTGTGTTTGAGAAAATGGACATGGCGGACATGATGGAGCACTTCCTGCTTCATGCGCACGAGGAGTATCTGGGCGACGACGCCGACCGGATCGAGACATACTACTGCTACAACCTGCAGGACTTAACACCCCCCAAAAATAAATATGATGTCATCTGGATGCAATGGGTGGCCTGTAAGTGTGATGGGAGATGCATTCTGATTTTATGTGTGTTTCAGAAATCTCTAAATCTTAAGAAAAGCCAATAGGCCAATTTAAAAGGCACTAACTGATTCAGAGGAAAAACATCATGAGATGTGTTGTGGGGGGTTTGATCCCTTTTCCAGGAGCCAAAACGCTTCAAAAACTCTAAAGAAGAAGTGTAGCTCCAGTCAGATATATCTGATTATCCATCGAGACTTAGTGATCTGACAGATTAATTTACATAATCCGAATGAACGCTTTTACGTTTCTAATCTTATCTGACCAGGTGCTATGTTTTGGTCTACTTCTTCAGGCCATCTTACAGATAAAGACCTGATGAACTTCCTGATCCGCTGTAAAAAGAGTCTACGTCCCAATGGCGTCATCATAATAAAGGACAACATGGCGCGGCAGGGCTGCAAGCTGGACTCCATCGACAGCAGCATCAGCCGCCACCTGGACATCATGAGGGTCATCATCGCCAAGGCCGGCCTGGAGATCCTGGCTGTGGAGAAGCAGGAGGGCTTCCCTGAGGTCATCATTCCCGTCTGGATGATCGCCATGAAGTAGAAGTAACTGTTGGTTTACCAGCTGAATGCCAGTCCAATTTTTAATGCTGATTCAGATACGGTCCTGTCTGTGTAAAAGTAGGAAAATCGTCAGAAATATCCGATATGACATCCATTCATTTATCTAACATCCATCCATGTATTTATCTACCTATCCATCCATCCATCCATCCATCCATCCATCCATCCATCCATCCATCCTAAAACCAGCTTCTCTTTGGGGACTCTGAGGTGTTCCCAAACGGAATGGAGATACAGTGCCTCAGAGAGTTCTGGTTCTGACCTGGGGCCTCCTCCCGGCTTTACTCCTAACCAGATGAACCCCCTTAATGACTCATTTCTCTCCTCTGAGCTCCCCCCTGGATGGTGGATCTCCTCCACTTCTCTTTTAAGCTCTCCTCTGAAGTATACACCCCCCCATGCTCCCCATGCTTTGGGTCTTGACCCGGATCTGTGAGCAGAGGGGAGGGTTGGAACAAAGATGAAGCAGGAACCTGAAAGCTTCTCGTTCCGGCTCAACTCCCTCTGACTCAAATGGACAGGAACAGCACCTCATTACTGCTGACCAATCACAAATTCGTCTGTCCATCTCTGACTCCAGCTCCCCATCAGAACCACATCCAGAGAGGCTGAAACTAGTCCAAGTGAAGATAAGAATCAGCTTTAACCTTTTTTTCAAGTCAAAACCATTGCCTTGTTCAAATAAGCCAACAAAAGCTGCATCATCTGCAAAGAGCTGAAATGTGACCCTGAGGTTCCAAAAGTGAACACTTTCCTCTCCATGACTACACTTTGATATCCTGTCCCTCACAAACTGATCAGTGACAAAGGAAACAACTCTGGAGGAGTCTGATGCGAACAGGAAACAAGTTCGACTCGATGCCAAGAATGCAGACCTGGCTCCTGCTCTGGTTCTACAGGGACTGGATAGCTCGTAAAAGCAGTGTCATCAACAAATAAATCCTGGATGAGATGATGGCCCCCAGGAGCATTTTTCTCCACTCAATGAAATAAAGCTTTCAGCAGGACTTTGTACAGAAACACAACGGGGCTGAGAGTTTCTCAGCTGAACACCTCCAGGTTTTATATCTGGATGACACCGAAGATTAGAGCCCCATTCCTGAGTGAAACACCAGGATTACAGCGGTAACATGTGGATCTGACCCCTGAGTGAGCTGCACCAAACAATGCAAAAAAGCCAAATATATTTCACTCAGCATTTTACCAGTCAAAATGCATCTGGATGTGTGAGTCACAGCAGCTGATCGCAGGATTTAGGCTGGGAAAAGCCAGCAGGGGCGAGGTTTATGGATGTTTTTGGTTGTTATTTTCATACCCAGAACAGTAGTTTTAGCACTTGATCGAATTTTTCCAGGGAGTCCTGGAATATATGAAACCCTGAGATATGGATGTGTAAAAATGTTGACCTCACTGAACTTGAGTTCGGATAAGATGTAGAAAACACACAGGTGGGAGGATAGAAAGACGAGCTGGGGGACTTCAGAAGGGTCATGTGACAGGTTTGGTTTATTTCAATAAATCTCCAGCTTTATTTGCCAGTGTTTTAATCTGTTTTGGGGAATCTCCTGTTGACAGCAAAGGTTAAGAGAAACAGATAAAGCTATCCATCCATCCATGATCTCATAAAACTATCCCTAAAGTTGGGAAAAGACCCTCTGAACTCAACCTCTTTCTAAAGAGTCCCAAACATAAACAATATTTCTTAAAAATGTTCAATATTTATCTAATTTTACTCATAATTAGCACATTTCCTCGGATTAAACGCATGTAAATATTTTGTTCTGATGTAATATTGTGTTTTCTACCTTTTGCTTGAGTTATCGATGATGCACTGTACAGTAAATTTGCTTTGATGTATCTCAGAAAGAGGTTGGATCGTTTTTTATTGAATCTCCACTGCTGTTTTCACATATTTTACATAAAGGCTAACAGGATTAAAGATAGGTGATACATGCTGGCAGTTGGGCTGATTGTTCCTCAGTATTCCAGCTGGATGGGTTCGTTTCCTATATGTGCATTGGTTTAACACAAAAAAAGAGAAAAAGTTAAGTTTGACATTATTTCACTAATTTACTGGCACCTTTTCAAAACTGTGGACTAATTATTTTAAAGATCAAAAATGATCTTAGTTTAAAACTGACCCATGGCCAAAAAAAACAGGATCTATCACACCAAAAACTATTTGAAATGGAGAACAATCTTCAGACCACAAATCCATCTCCAGAGATCTTTATGCTACTTTGTCCACTGTGTGTGCCGACATCAGGAGGATAATAATCTAATTTGATTCAAATTGATTTATAAAGTGCCAAATAACAACAAATGTCATCTTTGGGCACTGCAGATATCCAAACCCCGTCCTGAGTGTGCTTGAGAAGACAGTGGGAAGAAAACTTCCTTTTGAACACAGCAGCACAATGAGCCTAAACTATCCTCTAAAAGCACTGGAGAACTCTGAAATGATCAGCAATTAGTCTAAATTAGATCCAAATCTCATCCATCACAGAGGTTTGGAGAAGGCCCCCTTTGCCTCTGAGACATCGAGCAGTTTGCAGCAGTGAACTAGGAACGGGAACTGTTATCCTTCTACAGCCTTGTTTCTGCTGCACGGATGATTCACGCTCGATAGCTGGTGCTAATGTTCATTTTACGGCCACGAAGAAGAGGCCCAGGCCCCAGCGAGTGTAACCAGAGATGGATGAACTGAGCCTGTTGGGCGGAAATATTCTTCAACAACCTCCCCATGGCAGTTTGCTATTCATTTTAATCAAATAGCTCTATTCAGAGTTAAACAAATACAATTAATTAAGATAAATCACGCCTCTAATTGATTATATTGATTTTTTAAAACTGCGTGTCCTCTCTAGTTTATTTACATGGAGCCTTTAACGGGTTAAGAGCTACAATGTCTCTACAACGGTCGAAAAAGCACAAAGAGCGGAGGAATTAACAAAACAAACACACATAACAGAAAACCAAACCAAGGGCTGCTTTCTGGAAAAATTCCAGGGGTGCTGGTAATTTTGGCCGTGACTGCCGGCCCCACGTTGTATTTGGATCCTCTCATACCATAAGTATTATTGCTATTATTATGTTTTTAAACTAAGAGTAGAAGCAGCACATTGTTTGGGGGTAATGACTTTCAGCTGGGGCCCCGAGCTGGACGTGGAGGCTGATTATTTCCTGGTTTTGACAGACTGTGCCTGTTTTCATATCTGCGCTGGCTTCACTTCAGGCCTGTCACATGTTGTCTGCATAAAATACATCCAGGAGTCGCCTCAAATATTCAGCGTTTGCGTGCACAGGCGCTCGACAGGAGTGATGTGGAGCCGTTCCTCCCTCAGCTTTTCCATGAAAGGACAGTTTGTGAGCAGAGAAAACACAAAACCATCAAAGTGTTAAAGGCGCGATGGCGTGAGATGATTCCCCTCCTCAGAAAGACTCCTTTAAGATGTGAGTAGACCAACACATTTTCCACATCCCGTATGAATTAAAGATCAAAACGCCCCAAATTTAAACTCGTAGGTACTTTTCTTCTCTCCCCCAGCAAATAGCAGCCAAATGTGCTGTCACCTTTTCACGAGCGGTTAGTGTCGCTGACAGTCAGAGCCATCATTTCTAATAGCGCTCAACGTCCTCCGCAGGCGCTCGGCAGCACTTTGAATACATTAGATGGAGTTACACTAATTTGTCCGGTCACGTCGGCTGCGGCGAGCTTTGGACTTTTTTCTGAGTGTATCAGAGACAGAGGTGGTGACCAACACTGAGTTCAGGCCTGGAAACGTTTCAGCTGTAATAAGAAACATCAAGCGTCCAAGGAAAACATCAAAATGCTGGAAATTACAAACGATCTGCGTCTTCTAATGGCGCTTGTTCAGAAAAAGATTTACTCTGCCCGAATCCCAGAAAGTGTCCACACATCATCATCGTCCCGGGTCGTGCTGCACACCGGGAAGTGAGCGGCTCCACTTCTGCTAACGCAGCTCGTGAGAGCCCGCCATTAGAGGGGGTCAAGCCCATTTCTGACTTATTTCCACAGGGAGAAACAAAGGCCCGGCTCTTCTTTGGCAAGCCAGGAATATAACCATCAACCTTCTGATCTCTGCCTAAGAAACTCCATTAAAGCCTTTAACAGCTGCATAAATCCATGTTTCTATCTAAATTTGCCTCGTTTTGGCCAAATTGAGCTAGTAATCATTTTCAGACAACATCTGAGTGTATAAAGAGTTGAATCTTTTTTAGAGAACAAATCATCCTTTTTAAGATGATGCATAATTCATTTTAGAGCAATTTTTTAAAGATAATGTTGAAAATATTTCCAAAAAAACGAGAAAATATCCGACATTTAAGCATTAATTTCAGGAAACTAACTTGTCATTGGAATTAGTTATTAACATATATAAACATTACTTTGGACTTCTTTGACAGCATTTTAAAATGTTTTTTTTGTTTTTTGAGATTTAATTTTTTTCTATGATAAAAAAAATATTTCTCTTATTGAACACCTCCATTCTAAAGTGCCATTTCTACTTCTTTGAGATTACAAGTTTTATAAATAAAAACGTAATTTTTTCTAATTATATAGAAATATATTTAGACACTAACTGGATCATTTTCGTATCATATGAAATTCTAAAGCACGCAATATTTGAAAATGTTACTTTTTTATTGAAATAACCCTAGATATACCGTAGATGTGTCTGAATGCTCCGTTGTTTTCATGTCAGTGTTTTTGGGGCGAAATACTGACACATATTGTCCCCGAAGGTTAGAATTTTACCTAAATTAGAGCTTCTGCTAAATAAGGAGGTGTAAATCAAAATTTTTCCTCTGTTTGGTGGAAATCCGCTCACAGTGAGGGGCTCTGTTTCGCTGTCATTTTTAAGATGTAATAACCCCTCTGAGTCCCTAGAGGCTGCTAACAAGACTGTAATTTCCCCCAATAGTTTCAGGTTTTCCTTGTGGTGGCTTCGCTGTGGA